TGCTTTATCTTTCTCCAATGAGAACATCATAGAAGACAAATAGGAGGAAATGAGCAGAAAGATCACAAGAAAAAAAAAATGTCAATATTGAAAGAGGAAGAGGAACATAAGGCCATCAAGTTGAAGGTCTAAAGCAGTGGTTCCCAACCATTTTTTTTGGCCCACCTAAGCATCTCTAAAATCCTGATGCCGACCCTCCGTGTGACATATAATTCTTATTTTACTCAAAAAGTGAACTCTATTCAGGCAGAGGAAGGCTAAAAGGTTATTAACTTAGTTTAAACAAGGTTCAAATTGCCCCTATTAAAAATCAAATCCCCCCCCCCCCCGTGAGGCCTGGGCCCCACGTTGGGAACCACTGGTCTAAAGTAACTTCTGATGCCATCAGGTGAATGGCACTTTAAGCTTGCTTCCCAATTTTTCCCCATCATTTTATTACTTCTTCTCTTACATATCTCTCATGCATTTTAATGCTTTTCATTTGAAAGGGACTGAACAAACCCCAGGTCCAAATAAAGTCCACACAGGAGGTATATCTTTCCATCTCAACAACAATTTAAAAAACCACAAACCTATTTTTTTTCTTAAAGTCTGTAGAGATTCTCAGTCATCCAGGTCATGATTGTCCCAAAGGTGCTTTTTTCAGGAGGCAACTGGACTTTTGATTTTTCTTTGAAGAAGTTTCACTTCTCAACCAAGAAGCTTCTTCATCCAGTCAGAGCTGAAGAAGTTTCTTGGATGAGAAGCACAATGTCTTCAAAGGAAAAAAGAACAAGAAAGTCCATCTGCCTTCTGAAAAAGCACCTTTGGTGCTATTATTATTTTTTCTTGGACAATCTATTTTTTTCTCTTTCTTGAAGAATTGTACTTAAATATGCTTATTCCCCTACTGAGTGCCCATCGTATATTCTCTCTCTAGTCTAGACCTACTACTTCTACTAAACAGAAAGCAGGCATGCAGCGCTGCCTGTCCTTCAACTCTCTGTTTGCACGTGTATTAGTGTGCAATCTTGTGGAACAATGAATGCAGGAGTGATCATCTGAAAGGGCTTTGGGTGGGGGGAGGGATAAAATGCCAACATTTTTAAGAGGGTGCCGCCCTCCTGCTATGGCCGCCTGGCAATCCACGCTTTTCTTCTTATTGACTCCAGAACCTCAACTTCACCGATCTTCTCACCACGGCAGACAACTGGAAAAAATCACGCCTAAAGCAAAGCATTTATTTATTTATTTATTTTAAAAAATAAACATCGGACCTTCACGGCTACCAGTCGAACCCGATGACCAGGCCGGGACCGGGCTACGCCATCGCCCTACCCAACCCGGATCCGGCCGATTGATTAGCACCGTTATATCTGAAAGCAGAAGGCCCCCAAACCTTCAGCACCGCAATAGGGGAAGCAGTGGAAACGGCGTGGGTTGAAGCAGCCCGAAGATTTCCGAGATCTGCCCGAACCGCCGTCTCGGCGAGATGAAAGGACGAGAGTTTCTTCTTGGGCAACCCTCATGCAAATAGGGGAATAACGAAATCTCCCGCCTTACTCTTGGCCTACTACTCACCGTCGTTGGTCTGCCCCATCTCGATGAGAGTCTCCTCGTTTTTCTTCCCCGCGCGGTTCATGGCTGCGGGGAAAGCAGGCTGTGGCGGGAAGGGTTAGCAAAAACCAGCCCGGAATCCAGCGGTTGAAGTCAGACTGGAAAGAAATTAGGGCGGGCCAGGCTTCGGCGAGGCACGAGGGCGCCACCTCCTTTTTCCCCTTGTCAAGTCCTCCGCCTCCCGCTTATCTGTCTTCCCGGGAAAGTCGGGAAAGCGGCGTAATGAGTTTCTGTCATACCAACTCAAGGGACTGGGAAGGAGATGCCGAAGGTGGGCGGGTGGACGGGGGAGGGGAAGATGGCTCAGAGTTATGAAAAAGGGAGGGCTTAAAGATTGAAAGCGGGGCGGGGGAGCAAGAAGTGGAGGAAGGAGCAATGATTTCAGTGAGTCAGGGTCTGCGCGCGCGCGCCCTGTCAATGTGCAGTCTCGGGTTACTCGACAGCTTGCGTCACGGCGCGAGAGGGGAGGGCGAGAAGAAAGGGGCACCGAAGCTTCACGCTGTTTTTCTCGCCTCTTTCTTCCCCCCCCTTCTCTCTCTCTCTCTGTCTCTCTCTCTCTCTCTCTCTCTTTCTCTCTCTATATCTATCTATCTATCTATCTATCTATCTATCTATCTATCTATCTATCTATCTATCTATCTATCTATATGTCTGCCTCTCTCTCTCTCTCTCCCTCTCTCTCTCTCTCTCTGTGTGCGTGTGTGTGAGTGAGTCTTTGGGTGCTGATGCTGCTTTGTGGGTGGAACTCTCTCTCTCTCTCTCTTTATTGAGCAGGTTTATTCTCACATTTGCATTGACCAAGTGAAGTAATCGAAAGAGTTGGTTTTCCAGTTCTTCCTTCCTTCAATTCTTTCTGCTCCTCAAAGTGGAGAGGGAATTTGCTTTTTGTCACGTGACTCTCTCGAAATGTTATTGCGATGAGTTCATTCTTAATAATTCACAAGAACAACTTAAAGGCTTTGACTTTTCAAAGCAGTAGAAGATGACATAAAGAATTACCTTAGGCCGCTCACGGCTTTTCTTGATTTCCTTGCAGGAGAAAGAGTACCATAATGGAGAATATTTGTAGATCAAGGGATGAAATGAGGTGTCTTTGGTGCGTTCTGAGCATCCTTGTTTTCTGACAGACATTTCATTACCCTAACTAGAAAACGAGCAAGCTCAGAGGAGAAAGAGTGCCAACTAGAAGTAGATTGTGTAAGAGATCTCTTCAATTACAGATGTAAAGCTAAAAATGTCTTAAAGCCTTCTAAGATAACCAGAACCTTTTTTGCAATATGTGAGTCTAGCAATCTTGCACTTGACAAAGCTGCTGTGTTTTTCTTATTCTAAAATACCAACCTTGGAATCTGCATTGAGAGTCCTGGGAAGCTAGAATGCTACTCTATTATTTTGACTTTGTTATGAGTCATGAATTTAGTGAACTTGATTTAAGATAAAAGTAAATTACCCATGCCATACTTTAGTAGGTATCATTGGATTAATTGCTTTTCCCTCTTCAAAGTTGGAATGAGAGGTTGGCCAATGAATAGGAAGAAAGGTCCCCACAGCTTTTCTGCCACGCTCTTATCTAATAAAACATATTTTGATTTTTTTGAAACTGCTATTGTGTTATGTATGCTATGATATGTATCTGTGATGAAAATACTTGGTATTTTTGTCTCCTTAGAAACAAGAATATGCAGTTGTATTTCATATCAATTGCTACAGATGTGACCTTTAAATAACTAATGATGTTAGAGTAACATAAAAGACAGGAAGAAAGCATTAGAAAGAAACTTACACATAGCCTTAAAGCTCCTGGTCATAAAAAGGAAGGGGGGAAATTCAGGCTTCCAAGTGTCGCTTCCAATCCGTATCCGGTTTTTGTTTTTGTATTATCTGTCTGTCTGTCTGTCTGTCTGTCTGTCTGTCTGTCTGTCTGTCTGTCTGTCTGTCTGTCTATCTATCTATCTATCTATCTATCTATCT